TGCTGCTTGAGGAAATATGAGTATAACTAGATTCTATTAAAAATCTTTTTCGGGTTTTAATACAACTTCTTAGTTTTCAAAAAAAGGTTCGTTCAACCACGTTTCCGGCTTGATCAGGGGGTCGAGAACTGTTTACAAACTCTCTTGAAACGGCTTTTGCCGGGGGCCGGGGGGGGGGGGGGGGGGGGTCCAAGTTCGCTGGCAAATATGACCATGTTGTTGGTTACAGGTGCTTCCTCGGGCTGCAAGCATCCCCGCATGCTTGCCGCCGTGCTCCCTGGCGTGTACCTTGGCTTTTTTATTCAGCCGGCTTTTCTTGGCTTTTCGAGTGTTCGGCGTCAACTAGCAGCTACCTACAGCCAGCAAAACCATGTTCTCGTTGCCTCAACTTAAGATTCCACAAGCAAGGGTTGGGGCATTAAGGCGCCCAAAGCCTAGGCCTAGACCATGAACTTTAAGTAATCAGTACACCAAATTACAGAGTGCACTGCTTGAGGGATCTGCTAATCTGCTTGACGTTTCAGCGAAGGCAGCTCAGAGTGTAAAACGAGGCGACGAGCACTCATGCTTTGCAGTTCAGTCTCGTCAATGTGCGTGCGCATCTCTACTTCGAACCAGTCGGCGCTCGGGTGCATCCGTGATAGCATCAAACTTCGCGATTCTTGAGAAACTTCTTTCCAAGTGATGTTCCAGTACCACGGCATCAAGGGAGAAGGTTGTGTAGCAGTGCAAGCAACTTCAACAGCACGAACGTTCGGCTCGATTTCGACTGCCAAGTTTTTGCCGGATCGTGGAGCTTGGTTCCCAATCCTGTTCGTCCGAAGTAGTCGGCGTTGCCGAATAATCTCTGGCCTGTTGCGAACCACCTTCCATGGCTAGTGCCGACGAGTCTGGTTGATTCCGCAGGTCTGAACAATTTTCGATGCTGGCCAGGGAGAGTCCATCGAGGCCGTTCTGAGGGGTTTTGAGGAACATTCGAACGCCACGCATTCTACTGTGCTTCCAGGATTCCAGTGATGGGGCTGGTAACCTGGAGTCTGTCGTTGCGCTGCTGATGCTCCTGGTGCCCCCTAATTAGTTACTAGTTTCTGCACTGCCCGCTTTGGCCACACAAGTTCATGTTGTCTCGTTCGTACTTGGTTTTGCAAGAGGGTCTGCTTAGACCTAGTTTGCCGCCCGATGCTCTCAACACGCATCGTGTTTGCCATGCTCTGCTTCAAGGCCCCGTGGGCGCTTTTTTTTGCGAATAGTTGTACATGAAAATTACATTTTGGATGGAAATCTCCTGTCGGAGGGATCACCCCTTGCCGAGGAATCGGGCAAGGTTTGGGTCATGATCCATCGGGCAAGGTCTGGGGACATCGATGGATTCCCAAAGCATCTCCTCGAGATGAGGTTTGACAGCCAGTATGTGAGGACCGCAGTGGAAAAGGTGGTAAGTCTAGCCCCGCAGTACGTCACTTAATGACAGTGATTGTGCCCTTCTTCGCACTCTCTGTCTGTTGGTCTCTTCAGATTCTCAGAATATTCTGCCTTCCTCCTTACTTTCTCGCCCCTCTCTCTCCCCAGTCCTCCACCGTACCTCTACTCTCCCGTGCCATGAGCACATCGACCGTATGCTCGACCGGAAAAGACAACTATGTGAGTGAGCCCTGGCTTTAGCAAAAGCTGGGGCAGTGCGTCAAAATGAAGCAGGCGGTGGTTGTATTCCTTTCAGAGCACATGGCGCTTGGCTCGCATCTGAGTTTCTGGAAAGATAAGAGGAAGATGCCTGTGTAACAGCAAGGCACGACTGCCATGGCATCAGCTTGCAAAGGTTGACACCTTGCGCGGCCAAGGCCTTGAAGTTCCTCGAGTTCTTGCAGGTAATGTCTTTGGATGGTTTGCGGCCAAGCTGTTCACGTTCTTGTGTCACGCATGCAATGCATGTACTTAGCAAATTGGGATATCTTGCCGCGAGACAAGCTTGCAGACAGCATGATGATGCGACAGCTTACGAGTAGTGGCTGCCAATTCGCACCTGTTAATTCTGGTGACTGGTGCATGCATAAACCCAGCAAACCAGGCCCCAAGAAGCAGATATGGATGGCTTACAGGCCTTCATAGCGCTTACGCGAGGCTTTGACTGGATGTCAGACGTCGCGTATGGTCTTCATCGACGAGCTTTCCGGAAGGACCGGCTCCCATGTCAATGCATGCATGTCGGCCTTGATGGCAGCATCCCAGCAACGATGCTGTCAACCATTTGCGATGTCTGATTTTTTGCTGAACGCAGACATAACAAGCGGTTCTGTCCGGCAAGGGGTACGGCCCGGCAGACATGCATGCAAGCGCAGATCGTGCTTCTTTCAGCGCTTGAGGGTTCCAGTATGTTCCAGTGATTGAGTATGCTGGAGTGTAAAGAATGACATCACTGATTGCAGCATTCGACCGCAACCTCAGCTCAGCTCTGCCACCGATGTTAACAACACTTAACAACCGTGGCCGTGGCCGTACTCCGTGCCAGGTGGCGCGCAAGTCCCCTCCCACCACAGTGATATCCTTCTTTAGGTCTTTACGAGTGCTAGCAGCAAGGTGCATCGCACGTTGCTTTTGTATACCCATGTCTACTTGTACACTGTGACACCTTTTTAGCGTTGCTCAGGTTTGACGGGCGGGGGGAGGTGTTTTGTGGAGGCACAATGGAAGTAGTCAAGCGGTTCTGCCCCCGCCGCAGGAAGGCCAAAAGTTTGTACCCTGGGCCTCAGTGGCCAGGGCGGCTCCGACTTTCAAGCTGCCCAGCTGCGGCTTGAGGAATTGAATGTTTTCCTTTGGGCTTTCGTGCTTGAGGCATGCAAGAGTATCTGTCAAATAGTTCACGGCATCTCTACATATTGGAGCTGCATGCAGCATGCATGCCGTCCGCAGTAGCTGAGGGTAGCAGGACTTGCTGGGGCGTGGACCACGGGCGACGGGGCTTTTCGTGGTGCGGCGCTGCGCCACGATCTGCCTGCAAACCGAGTCGTGGATGCGGCCGTGCGAAGCCGTAAGGCAGTCCTTGATGCTGATGGCTGATGCTTGAAGCCACAGACGGATCCGAAGGTAAAACCCAGAATCCGCTTGTGGTAAGAGGTCAAAGCTGTAAGGCTGTGTGTGGTTTCAAGCACTGTTGGGCATGATGGTGCCCTCGACAGTTGCCTTCAACTGCGAAAAGGCTCGCTCTGGTCCATCTGTGCTCCGGCTGCCAGGCTCATTTGCCGTTTCGCATGGTGGAAGTTGGCGTGTTCAAGGGCAACCTCACGCAGCACGTCTGGCATCGAGCAGCACGGCGTCCAGGTTCAGTCGAGACATGAGTGCACTCCTGCAAACCCGATTGACGGTGCAGGTGCTTTTGAACTCCACCTGGTCGACCATTGGGGGGCCGCCGATCGGCCGATGGGTGTAGCCAGCCAGGCGGATCGGTGTTGCCTGTGATTCCTATGTATGTCTCTCTCTCTCTCTCTATCTTGTGCTGATTCCATCGCTCTTCGCGAAGTCGGTAACACGAAGTCGAAGAGAGAACTGGAGCTTTTCGGAGCTTCGCTGCTGTGAGGCATTGGGCACTGGTTCTGACATGGGTGGCCAAAGCAACGCTTCCCTTATGCGCTCCGTGTGGCGATCCTTCGGGCGCGCTGGAGCTCGGAGGATGGAGGTGCCGCACTGGCAAGGCTCGAGACAGCAGCTTGGGATTCTTTAAGTGGGTTAAGTATGTTGTGGCGCAATGCTGCAGTGCAGTACAAGGACGCTTTCCGTCCTGAGCTTTCGGCCTGCGACCAAGGGCCTGTGCCGCATTGAATGAAGCCAAAGCGCGCTTCCGCGCTGACGTGCTCTTCCACCGCAGCACAAGCGTTGGCCCGTCCAGGCACATCCACCGGATCAGTCGTGGGCCTGTCGTGGTCTCACAGATCAGGAGTTCAGCGCATGTTTCTCAACAGGGCTCGCAGGTGCTATGCTGCACGCAATCATCATCGTCATCAACATCGTCATACATCGTCATCGTCATCCTTATGATTATGATTCTCCAGCTCATGCAAAGATATTCGATCAAGTTGTATGTTGAACTTTTGAACAGCCGGACGACTGCCTCATCCTGGCCAAACTGCCCCGTCCTGGTCCAGGTGTTTCGAGGAGGACAGCCTCGACCTTGTCTACATTGATGCTGATCACAAGTGCCCAGGCTGCAGTGGTCATGTAGTCAACGACCAGCCGTCCATTATCGTGCAGCAGTGTACACGTATGCGAAGGCTTCCTGTGCTTTGCTGGTGCCGGGCCAGGTGGTGGAGCGTATTGCAAGATTTGAGCGCCTGGTGGCCCAAAGTCCGGCCCGGTGGACTCATGCGATTGGCCATCAATTCGGAGTGCGAGCGAATCTGAGCGATTTGCATGCTAGCTGCTGACTAACTTGGGAAGCGCTGCACACCTTAATTGGGCGATTGCCGAACTGGCACGTTTTCAGCTGGTATTAAAATCCGGATGGTTGGTCGAGAGGAGGGGAAGCATCAGAACATACCCCGGCGCTCCCCAGGGATGCCCGAAGCAAGCGTAACGCTACGGCTGCTACATGAGAAGCTTTCTCTAATGCCTTTCATTCCCACTTAACGTTGAAGCAAGCTCAACTCCCGACATGCCCGGTGATTGAGACATGCCGAGCGACAGGATCAGGAGCTTTTGCTCTACAACTTTTTTGTGGTTGAGTGGTTGAAGAAATCAGGATGGGGCATGACTTCCATTTCAACACGCTGATGGAGCGGGAAGAGCTGGCTGGAGGCAGCATCAACGATGTGCCCATCGCAGTTGGGGCTTTCTTCCGTGCCCCATTGCAAGTGTTGTTGCACAGTGGATTCGTGTGGCCCAATGCTCAGTGGTTTACATCGTTCAACACCGTTCCATTGTCGCACAAGTGAAGAACCCACTAAGCGAGATCAGCGACAGAGTTACCCCAAGGTCAGTCCAGAAGCCGACAAATTTCGCTACGAATGTTTCCGAGGCCCTTGCCTCACGCGGAACCTAGTTGCGTTGCCTTGAATTGAGCACCGTGCCGAGGTCGCTCTGCAGCGACAGGAGCTGTGTGATTTGCTGCGGAGGCGATTTGCCACTACAGTAGCTCTAGTATGCCGCTGCATCCACGTGCCTGACTCTGCAGTCGGCTGAAGCCCCACGCCACCTTCGAGATATGCGACTTGAAAGCGTGAAACTTCAGAAAATGGGGTGCCCCTGCTTGAGTTGGAGAGCAGCCGGAGCACTCAATCAGCGATTCAATTGGCATTTGACCCTCCCCTGCGCGCCCACCTTTCAACTTTGTCGATCTTTGTCGGCTTAGCTGTTAAGCTGCCAACATGTCGGCAATTCAAAGAAGGCATGCAAGAGGTATCTGGCCCGCTCAAGTTGCATTCCATGCCACGAACAGTTACAGTTTCAGACCATTCAGATCGCGGGGCCGGGCACTCTCTGACGAGCAAAGGCTTGCATTTGCTAAGTTACTAATCTTGACACCTAGCCCGTTCAAGCGCATGAAATGTTTTGCATTCTTATGGCTCAGTCCTGTTGATGCCCAGCACAGTCCCAGATGGATACAACTAGGTGACGGCAGTTCATGCTCCAAGCTCGGCAGTCCTTAATTCAGAGTCTGATGGCGCTCATCCCATCTTACGTGCCCTAGAAAGGCACGTCGTCGTGACAGCATTACTTCTCCTCCGAGATGCGACCTTGTCATATTGTTGAGCTGAGACGAGCTCAGTTGGCAGGCTGCATGTTGGGTGAGCCGTGTCGTGCGCGGTCGCGCGCTGTCGCAGCTGTGCGATGTCAGTCGTCGTGGAGCTGGCATTGTTACATGTTGTTACATCGCAGGACGACGTGGCAGATATACTGCATTTGTTGACGCTGCTTTGGCTCTTTGCGTGCTGCGACCAAAGCAGGTGATGCTCCAGCGCCCCGGCAGTGGGCAGAGGCCGCATGACACTGTTGCACGCTGCGTCACCCGTCGTGGCTTAGTTCATAGCGCCGCTGTTTACTCAAATCTTTACAGCCAAGAGCGGGATTGCCACGTTTATCCGTATTGTGTTTCTGTTTCTCTCTTCACTCAAATTCCGTCTGGTTTTCCGTCATGCCGAGTGGCCGAGTGATACTCGCTCTTGCTACTAGCTCCTCACCTCTCCGACATGCAAACAGACTGAGTTTGACTTGGGGCTTAAGTGGAGCTGCATTGGACTTGTTCCTGACTGGGGTTATTGAGCCCTACGACACGCTGTGTTAACACCGACCTGCAACTGCATCTGTTGCAAGGCCTTCCCGAGCAGAGCTCACCGCGATTGGCCTCACCCCTGCACAGGCAAAGGATCATCGGCCTATACGGAGGTTGGCTCCAAGCCTGAAGATGAACTATTTTCCGTTGCGAGGCAGACCAGGAGCTTGTCAGACAAAGTGAGTTGGAGGCCGTTTTTCGATGTCCGTTCCAATGCACACTGAGCTTCAGCAGCTGCAAGGCAACTCGGCAACGAAAATGCTCATCAGATGTGCATGCCTTCCATTGAAAGAATGTGTACGATCGTGGCCTTTTGTATCCGGACTACTTTATCACAGAATGCAGCAACAAACCACCCCCTGTTTGGGACCCAGGCGAGGCGACATGTACAAGTCTTTGCCTTTCACGACAGGCTTCGAAAATGAAAAGAAACGCTGGCAGACTCCGTCCAAAGCTATAAACAAGTGACTGCAGGTTTCGTATCGGCTTGGTGAAGAAGCTCGCCTAGAGTACCCGAGAAGCGTGCGCAGGTCGTTTATGCAAGCATCACTCGCTGGATGATGCTGTTTGGATGTATCATTTGCAGTGAGCCCAGTGGAGCGATTCGCAACCTTTGCATCCGCAGTGGTCAGAGGGTGCGTTCTCGCCACATGGACTGGCTCTATACGCACCAAGTCCATGCCATCGCACGTGCATCCTTGCATTTTCGGATGTGTGCGTGTGTTTAAAGTCGTTGTCCTTCTTGAAAGTCGCAGCAGCTCTGTCAGTCTGTCTTGCACATGCCGGAAGTGTAACTAAGGTGCTTTGCTACCCGTGAGCCTCGTCCTGTTCTCGTACTTGATATACAGTAACACGGATGCAGCCAGATGTGAGCACGTGATAGAAGCTTTGACAGTGCTTGAGACAGCTCGTTGTGCTTGCTTATGCATGGGATGCGTTGGCGCTAGCATCATGCAGTTGTCTGAGTGGTCAGGCTTTGCCCAGGAATCGTGGAAGGACTGTTGCAGATTTTTCGGTAGAGGCAAAGAGCACAGCTTTGAGGATTGTCTCCTCGGCTGACAGCCGTGTCGTTGCCGAAGGACTGCGACGTGCCACTGCGTGCGTGGTTCTATGTGGCGATGGCAGGGCAACAGAGCGGAAGTCGAAATTTAAGAGATACTGTCTACGCATCGGTACAAAGGTTTCGGCGTATCTCAGCTTCATGTACCATGTATGGCGCAGGTTTAGAGCGTGGCAAGATTCCAAGCAAGCACAGTTTCCTCATTGCCTGCCGCAGTTCAACATCGCCTACCACATCAACCTGGGCGGCAGATCGCTTCATCGACAGGTGATCAGGACATTCAGCACACATGTGGGAAGCATCGTCTATGCGCGCATGCAGTTTGAGGAGCGTGTGTAGATACCAGGCCCGGTGCCGAAGCAACAAAGCACGTCACGAGTGGAAGCCGTCATCTCGAGACCTTCTGAGGCACCCGAGCAGAGCCTGGAGATTCCTCCGGCGCGTGTGAGGCGTCCGGGCATCTCGAAGCTCTTGAAGGGGTCAGTCTGTGACCGAAACTCGAAGAGCGAGTCCGAATGTACTGACAATGTACTGTAGCCTTGTAGCATGCGAATCATGCTTGAGGATGCCAAGAAGACCTGGTGATGTAAGCAAGCTACTATTGTAGGGCTTGCAGTAGCACCAGAAAGGCATGCAAGGACGAGGCAGCCAGCAAGCCTTGCGGTCGTCACCAGAAGCTAGGTTCTATCACTGGCTCACGACTATTTTTGTGTTCTCGCGCTGCTGGCACGTTTGGCTGTACATTGCTGTGCTGCGCTAGGCCATGTCCCGTTTGAAGCTGGCTCCCATTGGCAAGGTGGCACTGCATTGGCCTGCACTGGACCCGCATCAGCCTTTCGCCCAGGGCTCAGGATTGTTAGGATGAACAGCGCTCGACATCAAAAGAGCAGAGTCAGCAGAGGTGAGCACTAAGCATGGAGAAACCCTCAATACTCTCACAGTGATGCTGCTGAATCATGCTGATGGTCCTAGAGATGCCCGTGATCCCCCGACACGACGGTGCGTTGTGCTTCCGCAAGGACTTGTATGTCTAGCGCACCGCTAACATCTTGCCTTCCGTGTCTATTGCCGCAGGTGCCATGAGACAGCTCCCAACATGTTCATGGCCACCTACCTTTTTGCCGCATTCAATGCAACACTGGCACGTTTACCTGTCTCTGCAGCTTGTGCACGTTCTAATTGGGTGCAGTCTCATGCTTCAACGATGCAGGGCGAAAAAGGTTGAGGGTCTGTCGCTTAAGCTTGTAATTTTTCTGGATCTCTTTGCCCGGTAGGATAGCGAAGCGGGCCTGTGCAACGAACGTAAATGGCTGCCTGGGAACCTTTCCAAGTGCGCCTGAAAGCAAGCCCCCTGCCGGGCCAACCAAGCCATTGAAGCGATAAACCTCTGCAGCAGTTGATGTCAGGTCTTTTTCACGATATTCACAGTGGTCTCGACCTACGGGTCGCATGCTTGGGCTAGCGTGTGAAGTAATTATTATAAAGGGAGCTCTTGTTCGGCAAGATTCATGTTCTTCAAGCCTCAGGTTGCAACACATGTTGGCTTCCCTGCTCCGCCGGGCGCCTAGACTCTAGACTCGGCCGGGGCCCTCTTGCATGAGAAGTCCGACCCCGCTGTCACCTCTGCTTCATGGAGCTCTCTGCCTCAGGTCGAGGTCTCCTTCCATCTTCCATGGTTTCCGACCGTGCAGCACCCGAGGCTCAGGGCTCAGGGCCGGATCGCAGTGATGTGATTCCCTCTTCACATGAGAAGTAATCAGTGATCTATGCTCTGTAAAAACCCTGTATAAGTCGATGATTGATGAGGGCACGATCGAGCTTCAGCAGACCGTGGTCTTCGACCCACAGGAGCCCCGACCGACCCTGATTGCAGTTGTGGGGCTTGGTGTCGCAGTATGGATGGCAGAGTGATGGTCAATTTGAGTCCACGGCCACTGCTCTTGCAGCTGAGCTGCTTACTTGCACCAGCTTGCATGCTTGTGGGGGGGAGCTGAGAATTTGCACCGTCATGCCGCTCAGACACGGTCCGCCCAGTGCTGCTTGATGTGTCTGGTGAGGAGTTCGCAGATGCACTGCATTGTCCGGTCTGCATGGAGGACTGGTTTCCTGCTCTCGTTCCAAATCCTTAGCCGCCTTTCAGATTCTTTCGGCTGCAGGACTTCAACAAGGAACACAAAATCAAGAAGACTGTATGTCTCAAGCTCTGACTGTCTTGCTCACGGTAGATTCTGCTAGCGTGGATAAGACGCGAAATTGTGGGAAGGACTGATGCTCGGAAAGATGTTTCATGTCGTGGATTGGAAGCCCAGTTCCTGGCTTACTGATTCTTTGCTGTTGCATCTGCAGGTGGGCATTATTTCCACGAGAGTTGCTTGGTCCACTGGCCGGCGAACTCAGCAAGAACTCCAGTGAAATGCAGTGACACAGTGTGGTTTGTAGCGGGTGGCAACAGATCCTTGATGCATCTAAGGCTGAAAGTCAACAGAAATTGCCCACTGTGTCGCAGGGACCTGGTGTTGGCCTTAGTGATGACCGCCGCGGGCCCTCAGCACCCGATCCGTTGCAAAATCAGAAATTGGGCCTTGAATCAGAAACCGCGCATCTGAAACCACGGGCTCAAGAGATGATGCGCATCAGAAACTGTGCATCAAAAACCAGCGCGTATCAGAAAC